CCCGCTGCCTCCACCAGCCGTCGTCGGAGGTGATCTTATTCCTCCCTATTTTTTTTTTAAGTTTAGATTTTATTATGATTCCTACACTCGTAGTTCATTCAGTCATCGCATCAAGTTCAATTCATCTACCGAATTCATTACCACAACTATCACCTATTGAGGTAATACAACAAGATATGAATGATATAATTAATCATCAATCATCACATATTGCTACGCCTCAACCTCGTTGTTGAGCTCGCTCGAGAAGACGRCTATCATATGGTACATGCGTTTTTATCGACATTCTGTAATATTTCAGTTTGTTTACTTTTAAATCAACTTGTGTACTGAACTTTTATTAATGGATTTGAAATTAGTTTATATTGAAGTTAATTTTTATTATAATGCGGTAGATGAATCTAGTRTACTGAATTTTTATTAATTAACTTGTGGTACATGAATTTAGTTCACAATTCAACCAGCAGTAGAAGACTAAGAAAAATTTCAAAAAAAAAAAAAAATCAAGACAAATCGCATCTGGTATAAAAAAATTAAAATGAATATATATAATTTTTTTTTCTGGGTCAAAACTTGTACATAGAGAACTCGTGTACAATGTACACGATTTACCCGGTACGCGAGTTCCCTCAAATCGTATAGAATGTACATGTTTTTCAGATCAATTGGTACATTGTAATTCGTATATGTTGTTCACGAGTTTTGACTTTGACCCTAACCATCCTAGTTTTATCAATACTTTTGGGATGTATCCTATTTTAGATTTATATTATTTTATTTACTTTTTTTTTATTTTAGTTTGTAATCCACCTTAAATTTGTAATTTAATAAATTACATTATTTATGGAATTGCCCGTTTAAGTCTAGTGGTGATTTGATATGATTTTAGAGCAGAAAATCTTAAATTGAATCCTATTGAACATAKGCTATCACATTAACAATTTGTGAGTGTGTGAATAGGTTTTACCAGAGGTGTTCAAAAAACCACATCTGACGAACCCAACCCAACTTCGAGTTGGGTTCAATTAATTACCAGTTCGGGTTGGGTTGTGAAATTTCCAACCCGACCAAGTCGGGTCGGGTCTCAAGTTCAACACTCGACCTGGTGATATCTTTATATATATATATTATATAATTTTTAAAATTATAAATATATAATAATATTTTTATCTATAATCCTAACCCGTGATTGTTGGTTTTTTAACTTTGAATCTTCACTTTCACTCGACCTCTCTCTCAAAGCCTCAATCCTCCGTATTATTCTCTCGCTCAAACTCCCCGTCGCCACCGGCCTTTGCAGCTTCCGTCGCCGCTCGCTGCACTAGCTTCCGTCGCCACTTGTCTTCGCCTGTCGCAGCCCGTCGTCGCCGTCGTAGCCCACCATCGCCGTCGCAGTAGCTTCAGGTCAAAATTTCTCTGATCTAAATCAATTCGTAAATGGGTTGGGTTTATACCATCCATGGGTGTGGGGAGAGATTGGTGGGTTGGGTGGTTCCAGSTTGTATCGTCTCTGTAATCGGCAAGGTAATCCTTTTCTCGTCAATTAGGGAACAAGAAAATAGGGCTCGATATGGGAATTAGGACTGACTAAGGAGATGTTAGATTATGTTGGTCTACTGCTTTATTTTATTTTATTTTTTTATCTTTTTGGATTTTTGAGCCATCGTGGTATTAAAGATATAAAATGATTTTAGTTTATCTTAACCTAACAACCTCATCTTCTAATTTTAGTTGTGATTTGATATGGTTTTTGAGTAGAAGATCTTAAATTCAGTTCCAATTGGAAAGTGTTTGCTTAGTTTGTTTGGGTTGGGTTCCCTCTACCCCAGCCCTTAGGCTGTTCCTCTCTCTCTCTCTCTTTTTTTTTTGTCTGTATGAATGTTTCTTATCTAAAAAAAACCAATAACCTTGTGGGAGTTCAAAAGATTACATAAATTTCATGCCCATGCTCGCTAATCTACGGCTTTGGTGATGTGTACTTCCAATTTTCATTTCCAATTACAGTTTTTCGTATGCATACATACATACAAGCGAATAGACAATAAATGCGGCTGCCTTTTTAATGTTACCATTTCTATCTCTTGCATTTCCAACATATATACGATTTGTCAATTATCAGTAGACTAAGTACTTCCCAAATTCCATCTTAATAGGTAAGCAGTTGATTTCCCAAATCCAATCTATGGCTTTGCTTTTTCTCTACTAGAAAAAGCAATAAAACCTGATTTTAGATAGGGTAAACATTGTCAATCCAAGAGTCTTGCAACTCTTCTTGCCTTAAATTACATATTTTGTTTTGTTTGTTTTTTTTCCTTTTCTAAAAAGAGGAAACTATTTAAGAACTTTTATGTGCTCAAATTATTGTGTTTAAAACTACAGAGTAATGGGGTTTAACTTTTAACTGTTAACCTAATTAACAAATATCAAAATATTGTTTTTGTTTGAATAGAAAAACTTTACCGATTCTTGTCTCCCTCACGGGCCGACTTTGGGGTCTCAATTCTAAAGCAAAGGCTTCAGACTCTTCGTGCACTTAATCTCACTCTCTTGGACGGCGAGACTTCTCTCGATTTTCTCTCTCCCTCAATCTCACTCACTCTGCTAGTTCAAGGTTGGTTTCAGCTTAAATCTGTTATTTTTAAGGTTTTATGATTGGTGCGATTAATTGTTTCTTTTCTTTTCTTTTTGTTTTTTTTGATCTTGCCCAATCTGTCTGTCTCTTATAGTTCCATAATGCTCTTCGAATGTAAAATATCAAGAATTAATTAGGACTATTTTCTTTTAGCTCCAGTATGTAATGATGATTCAATTGTTCCCGTCGCAGTTTTGTTTATTACTAATGTACATTTTAGTTAATCTACTGTTTATCACTTTATTCTTTCATGAGCATGGTGATTTTTGCAAATGGGAGTTATAAATTTATTTATTTATTTTTTTGAATGTCACTATGTAGATGAGTGTCAGCTGTAGACTTTCATTCCGATAAGAGTTATCTCTTTTGATGATGTTACCTGGTACATAAGCATATTACATTTGTAGTTTCTATTAATGATCTTCAGACGTTGATTTCTCCATATTTATTGTACTTTTGTATTTCGATGAGTTTCAATTTTCTGGGGTTTGTGTTTCAATCTTAATATTGAAGCTTCAGCTACCATATCATCTCTCGATCATGTATTTAAAGTTTTATATATTAAAAGTGCATCTAAAGTTTACCTAACTTATGTGTTTTTCCCACCATTGTGTTCCCCATATTTGTTATAATTTTGTGTTTCATTGAGCTTGAAGCTTTATCTACCACAATCTTTGAAGTGAGTTTAAAATATTTATTTGTTTACTTGTGTTTTGGGGATTTGGTGGGGCAATTTGGCTATTTGAGGGGTTTTAATGGGTTTTATAGCAGACGGGCTTGTGGAGCATTCATGGGTGGGGAGAGAGATTGATGCAGCTTAGAAAGGGAAATATTATTGATAAGATTCTGACTTCAAAGATACAACAAAGGCCTTTAAATAGGCAAAACAAGCAAAGCTCACGGTAACTACAAGTCTACAAGTTACCAAGGAGTAAACTAACTAATAGAACTAAAAGACTTTAAGATAACTAGAAAGCCTTAAGCCCTAAAGGAACTTATATATGATGAGTTACATCAATTAACCTCCCCCTAAAATTAAACTCGCCCTCGAGTTAATCAGCTAACATGAAAGTATCCGGTGCAGAATAAGGATGAATGTCTGGAACATTGAAAATAGGACTTATGTTGAAATATGAGGGGAGTTCTATTTTATAAGCATTAGGCTCGTATTTCTTGAAGACTTCAAAGGGTCTGAACTTCTTCTTCTGCAACTTATGGCAGAACCAGTTGGGAGGTGACCTTTGGAGAGATGGATCATAACAAGGTCTCCTTCTTTGAAGTCTTGAGCATGGCGTTTTGTGTCAGCCTTCCTTTTGTAGTTAGAATTAGCCTTCTTAATGTGATCCTGAACTTCTTGATGTAGTTGTTTAATCCTCTTCGCCATTTGAGCAGCTTCCATACTAAAATCAACAGAAGAAGGGATATTAGCCAAGTCAACAGTTAATCGAGGAAGTTTAGTATAAACTATCTCAAATGGTGACTTGCCTGTGGTTCTATTCTGCATGTGGTTGAAGGCAAATTCGGCCTGTGCAAGAGTTGAATCCCATTGCTTTGGTCTGTCACTACAAAGGCAGCGTATAAGGTTGCCAAGTGTCCTCTTAGTCACCTCCGTTTGCCCATCAGTTTGGGGTGATTCTTTGTACTATATTTAAGAGATGTGTCAAACTTCTTCCATAGTGTTTTCCAAAATTGACTTAGGAATTTGACATCCCCATCCGAAACAGTTGACTTTGTTATGTGCCATGAAGACGAACAATTTCTTTAAAGAAGTTGTTTGCCACATAGACAGCATCCGAGGTTTTCTTGCATGCTAAAAAGTGTGCCATCTTGCTGAAACAGTCAACCACAACCAAGACAGAATCAAAGCCAAGGGTAATCCCAAGATGAAATCCATAGATAAATCCTCCCGTATAGTTTCGGGAGTGGGAAGGGGAGTATATAGTCCTGTATTGAGCTTGGTGCCTTTTGTTTGACGAACAAAGCATTTAGAAACATAGATGACCACATATTTTCTTAATTGAGGCCAGTAGAAACGGGTAGCCACAAGGTGGATGGTTTTATCACGACCAAAATCAAAATGTCCAGCCAACCCCCCCAAATGCAAGTCCTTAATTAGGGCTGTTCTTAAAGATGTGCCGGGAATGCAAAGTTGATCTCCTTTAAAGAGATAACCATTCAGTAAATGAAAATCCCCTGAATTACTGTTGTCATTGCATTTTCCAAGCATCATTGAAATCTGGATCGTTTGCATAAGAGGATGGGAAGTTAGAAAAAACTATAATTTCACCTTGCAATAGAGTTAATAATGTTCCCGTTCGACTAAGTGCATCTGCTGCCTTGAAAGTCCCATCCTTATATTTGATGACAAAGTCAAACTGTTGCAAAAATGATAGCCATCTCGCGTGCATTCTGCTAATGTTCTTTTGAGTTTGAAGAAACTWAAGAGAGAAATGATCAGTAAATTAAATAAATTCATTACACAGTAAGTAGTGTTCCCATTGTTTGAGTGCGCAGACAACGACATATAACTCTTGCTCATATGTACTACAATTTTGGCGAGATGGGCTTAATTTTTCACTAAAATACTCTATAGGGTACCGGTTTTGGGATACGACAGCCCCAATTCCTAGTTCGGATGCATCTACAGCTACCTCAAAAGGTTGGGTAAAGTCAGGGAGGTGAAGGACTGGACTTTGTGTGAGTTTCTCTTCGAGGATTTTGAAACTATTGGTTTGGGCAGTGTCCCAGTGGAAGTTTCCTTTCTTAAGGCAATCTGTTAAGGGACTAGCTAAGGTGCTAAAGTTTTTTATGAATTTTCAATAAAAGGAGGCTATCCCTAGAAAATATTGTATATCTTTGATAGTTTGTGGTTGGGGCCATTCCAATATAGCTTTGAGTCTGGAAGGATCCATTCGAATGCCATCAGCACTAATAATGAAACCTAAGAAGGAGATTTCAGTAACTAAGAAGACGCATTTTTTTAGATTTATCACAAGTTGGTGCTCATGTAAAGTAGTGAATAGTAGGTTAAGATGTTCTAGATGATCCTCCCTATTCTTGCTATACACCAAGATATCATCGAAGTAAACAACAGTAAATTTATTGAGAAAATGGAGAAGTACTTGATTCATCAAATGCATAAAAGTGCTGGGGGCATTATAGATCGAATGACATAATCAACCATTCAAACAAACCTTCGTTGGTCTTAGAAGCAGTCTTGCACTTGTCCCCTGGTCTTATGAAAATTTGATGGTATCCGCTACGTAAATCTACTTTAGAGAAGATTTACAGAAGAAGTGAGCTCTGCCCAATTGGTCTAGCAAGTCATTAATCCGAGGTATAGGGAATCTGTATTTGACAATAATCTTATTAATTACCCTACTATTGACACACATCCTTCAAGAACCATCTTTTTTGGGAGTAAGTAGGGCAGGGACCGCACACAGCTTAGACTCAGCTGAATATGCCCTTTTTCAAGAAGCTGCGTGATGCAATCATGGAGGATCTTATACTCTGCGGGGCTCATTCCTTAATGAGGTAGATTTGGGAATGTGGCACTCGGGATTAAGTCAATGTGACRTTGTATGTTGCRTAGGGGAGGTAAGGAGTTTTGGAGTTTGAACAATTGTGGAAATTTGTAAAGGATGTTTTGTATAGGTTGTGGGGTGTCTGCCATGGACAGATTCTCTAAGCTGATTTATTTGATGACCAGACCTGGAATAGGCTCTGTTTGATGGATTAAAAGCTGTTTCCCGCTGTAGATATGGAATAGATGACCTTTATCAATGCCTTTAGAGGATGTTGGGTTGTTTAAAGGTAAAAGGACCACAGTTTTTCCCATCCAAGAAAACTTGTATGTGTTTTCTAGTCGTTTAAGCTTGAATATCGTATTGCCAATATCTTCCCAAAAGAATATGGCATACATCCATATCCAAGATACATGTGATTTGATCTTTGTAACTATTCCCAATAGAAAGGGAACTGTACATATGGTATTGACCAATGCCTCTCCTCCTTTCCTAATCTAACTTACTTTGTAAGAAGTAGGGTGAGGAGAGACTTTGAGATTCAACGTTGCTGTCACTAGCTTGCTAGATACCACATTTTCAGTATTCCCACTATCTATTATTATGTTGCAAACTTTCCCATTTACAGTACATCTCGTGCGAACCAAAGAATGCCTTTGGGGAATCGGGTTTGTTTTTGGTGTAAGAAGGATTCATTCCAAGACACATGTTACCTGTTCACCTTCATCCGGCTCTAGATAAGCGACCACTTCATCCGATTCTTGGTCACAAGTTGGACAATACATGTTTGCTTCCTTTTCCTATCTCCATTGTTTTCCCTTTCGAACTGTAGTTCAAAAGTTGATTTTATATTATGATTGTCATCGGCAACAATTAGTCTGCAAACTTCGTTGCATTTAAAAAACATAGGCTTAGTGAAGTAAAGCACAGGCTCAGTGCATTTAACAAATTAACGCACAAAGAATTGAAGTATTTATTTATTTTTTTTTTCAGGAGGTTGTGGCTTATTAATTGATTTGTCAATGTTTCAATTGAAGTATTCATATTTTTTCTTTATACTGGACAACTAGTAAGAACTCTGTTAGATGTAAACAAAGATTAAAACAAAATCATCAGTTTATTTTATAGAAGGATAAGAGTTTGGCTAAATTCATGAAACAAAAACGACACTTTTGTAGGTTATTTCTATACTGCAAATCCTTCTTATATTCAAGTCCATAGCCATTTTTAGCCACTTGCACTTTTTCCATAAAATAATATTACTGGAGCTTAAGCCACTTGCATATATTTATCTATAAAGCAATATGAGCTCATCAAGAAGTTAGCCTTAGGGGGCATGTGAGCGTGATACAAGCAGTAAATCGTATGTGCAAGTGCTGTAATCGAGACGATATAAATCGGGCATGCGAGCACCGTAATCAGTTGGATTGTTCGGACCACCATGATACGGGCAGTAATAGTGATGAATACTCAGGGCAAGCCTCGTTTTGCTAAGTTCTATGATTTTCAGGTCCTTTTTTGCGAATTTCGTTTCGTGTTTTCCTATTGCTTTTTTCATTACCGTCTAATTTTGAGTTCTTGAATTCAGCCTGTAGAGAAGCAGCAGGATCTCATTCGCAGCGTCTACGGAGGTTGGCAATTTTGTCTTTCGATTATATTTTTGTAATTTACTAAAATAATCAGGAGTATTTCCACTATTGCAGCTATGGTTTCTTTAACCTTAATTTCTATTTTGCTTTCTTCTTCTTTTCGGTTTGGAAAAGTACTCTCCAGTCGAGCTGAAAACGTCAGCAATTTCGTGGAGGCCGAGTCCATCTTTGGTYCGGTAATTTTTTGTTGATCGCATAATTCATTGTCCAATAATTTCCTTCTGGTCATTACTGTGTATAGGATGTATTGTATTTAYAAATCTATGATTCTCGGAGAAGCTAGATATTTGTCGAAATGAATATCTATTTGGCATTATTTAACCAATTATAATATATTTACAGAATGGCCTTTGTTATTAGTGGACTTGTTAGTGCTAATGCCAGATAAATTTAGTTCTATGTCGCTTGCTGTGCAGAAGTCTCTTTAACTTTGCCTTCAATGAACCACGAGGATTGTACTTTTCTTTTTGCTGCAGGACTCTCGTCTTGTATACAAACACTTTGCAACCCTTTATTTCGTGTTTGTATTTAACGGCTCTGAGAATGAGCTTGCCATGCTTGACCTGATTCAAGGTGCGTCCAACTGTCTTGGATTGGTGACCACTGAATCAATCTTGATCTAAATATTATTTACATGTAAAACTACACGTTACCTATGCTGTGAGTTTAGTACTTGATTCCTCAAGTTTTTAAACTCGATGTTATCATGTTATGTTTTGATGTTTTTTAGTTCATAATTACAAGAAGTGTTTAGAGAAGCAATTGATACAAAGAATAATGAAACGTGGGCTTAGAATTCTCTTACTTAAGATACCTAAATAATTGCCCAGACTCCAAGAAGTATGTTTTTTCATTAAAGTTTCATGAATCAAGTCATATATTTGAATGTAGCTGAATCTGGATCTTATCTTTACAAGTTTTTCATTTCAAGTWTCTAGTAGGATGACGTGATTAGTATTGTAATCTTGTGTTACTCTTTAATTGACTTCTCATTTTAAGTCCTGCTGCTTCAGTTTTTGTAGAAACATTGGACAAGTGTTTCAAAAATGTATGTGAGCTTGACTTAGTGTACAATTATAGCAAGGTTTGCTCTCTCTCTCACACAAATACTATACAGTCTTCTCACACACAAGTTTGCTTTTGAAATGGCCTMAAGCTAAGGGTGTACACGGTTTGGGTTGGGTTGAGGGGGTTTTTTGGACCAACCCGGGTTGGTAGGTTTAGTGACCTGATAGAATCAAATTAATTGAGCAACACAACCCAACCCAGCCCTTGTATTTTTTGGTTGGGTTGGGTTGAGTTGGGTTGTTGCTCCTTTTTTATTTTTTTATATAGATCGAGATTAATAAAACGAAACGAGAGATTAGAAGAAGAAAATTTTGACAAAAAAAAAAAGGTGAATAAGTGTGTTTGGCTCCTCTTACAGCAAAAGATAAAAAAGGGAAGAATCGTTGTGAGAGAAGAGATGAAAGAGATGAGGTGAGGGTTGAGGAATATGGAGAGTCAGAGACGAGGGATTGTCGGAGAAGATTGTGGTGCTGGCGGTGAGACGAACAAGAGGGGGAGGGCATGCGAGATGGGGCATGGGAGGGAGATGAGAGAAGGGAGGGGGTTGTCCAGGTTGTTTGGATTTCTAAAATATCCAACCCCCGAACCGAAATTTCGGATTTCTAAAAACCAACCCAATCCAAACTGAAATTTTTTAAAACCCAACCCAACACTTATGGTTTGGGGGTTGTCCAGATTGTTTGGGTTACCGAGTTTCTTTAACACCCCTACCTAATGCACTCCGTTGATTACATGACTGTCAATGCATTCTTCTCAACATTTAAATTTGAAATAAAACTTCCATGCAGATGCATACTATTTTGGATGAAATCATTTCTGGTGGCCAAGTGCTAGAGACTAGTTCTTCTGAAGTGATGAAGGCAGTTGAAGAAATATCGAAGTGCTCTCTCTCATCCAAGAAAATGTTTATTGTTTTGTGTGGTTTTAAGTATTTTAATACATGTTGATGTTATTGCACTGGCATTGCAGGTTAGAGACAAACTCAAATGCTATCAACTTCGTCTCCAAAACGGTCTCGGGTTGGCGGGGTTGAGTTTGTTGGTTTAAGCGAGCTCGTTAAACAATTTGGAATGTATTCTTTTGATGCCTCGTCTTCAAATTTTCTCTTGATCCGTTGATTTTAATTGATTACTTGGATTGACAAGTCACCATTTATCTTATTTGAAGACACATTTTGACATGTTTTCCAAATAAATAATTTGTAATATAATCATTTGRATTTTTTTCTTAAATAATTATTTTTTAAAAAYAAATGACAAAACTATGGTAGGTTTCAAAGTAATTACATAAATACGGTACATAAATCGCAGGGGTGRCCTGCGATTTGACTAAAGTCGCAGTCGTTGGTCGCGATTAATGGCGAAATCGCGGTCATTGACCGCGATTTCACTAAAGTTGCAGCCATTGACTGCGACTGCTCCCTGATGTGGTTCCACTAGAACCATGGCTTTGCTAACGGGTCTTTTGTTCTTTTTTTTGTTTTTTTTTATTTTGAGTTTGGCTGCGACTCCCTTTTGTTTTTTCCAGAATTTGGAAGTGCAGCCACTCCAGTTTGGATTTTTTTTTATTTGGAAGTTTCCTTTGTTTGTTTTCCCTCTTTTATTATCTTTTATTATATTGAATTTTGAAATCAGGCACTTCCTTTGTTCTTTCTTTTTTTTTTAATATATATTTTTTTCAATTTAGAAGTGGCAGCCCCACTTCCCATCAATATCCTTTTSTTCTTTTTATTTATTTATTTATTTTAAATTTTATTTTAAAAAATCACAATTTAAGAAGACTAAATTGTATAATATGAATTTTCTCCATATTCGAAAAATAGATTATGAATTAGCTATAACATGATGGACAGCTTATGCAATAATTTAAAACAAAATAATTATAAAACAAACAAAACCCTAATCATCCATACCCCAAATTCATGTAGTTTATACCTTGATTTTTATGTTTTTATTAATTTAATATTTTTTTATCGATTTAATTTATATTAAATTTAAATGTTATTATAGAACATACGAAGATGAAGTACAAAAAGCTTAATGACATTTTAATCATCGAATTGGTTTTGATCTAATTTTAAACTTTCAGACTTTAACATTTTAATCAAAATTTAAAATATAATAACAAAAAWAATAAAAAATTTAATCACATCTTAATTAAATTTCGTAATATTAATAAAATAACAATATATAAATTAAAATATGAATAAAATAAAATAAATAAATAAATAAGGGGAAGTTGCGTACAAAAAGTCGCGTACAATGTACGCAACTTCYGCCTAGTCACTTGCCACGTTAAATATACACGTTTGCATARAAATCCCAGACATTGTAYGCGAGTTTTGACTTTTATTTTGACCTAACCTATTTTTGTCAATAGTTTTGAAAACCTAACCTATATTTGATTTTATTTATTTAAATTACATTTATTTTGTAGTTATTTTTAAACTACCTTTATTTTTGTAATTTATTTTTAAAACTACATAATTTTAAAACTTTGTCCTAATCATTTACCATTTGATGACATAATAATCCAATCCCAATTCAACCACATACTTCAAGCACAAAAATTAGGTTTAAAAAAAATTGTTACGAACCAAAATGCACGGTTTAGAGATGATATGTTGTGCCATGTATGGTAATCGGCTACGACACGTATGTAGAGACGATCTAGTAGCAGATGATTTATTGAAGTTTTATTAGTAGAATAAGTTTGAGGGTAGTATTCTTTTGAAAATGAATTTCAAAATTAACAATATTAAAAAAAACCACCTCTTATCTCCCCCTTCTATTTCACAATGAGAAAAAAAAAATTAAAACTTTAAAAAAAAATTTAAAAAAAAAGATGAAAAAGAATGAGAGGTTACTTGTATTGAGCCAAGAAACCAATGGGTAGGGGTGTTAAAAAAACCCAGTGACCCGACCAACCTAACCTAATTTGAAAGGGTTGGGTTGGGTTATGAATTTTTTCAGTTTGGCTTGGGTTGATTTTGTTTAGAATCGAAAATTCGGTTTGGTTCATAGGTTAGACCAATTTGATCAATTCAACCCAAACCGAACTGAACATTAAATTAAAAAAAAAAACAATATATATGTAACAAAAACTAGGGTTTCTTTTACTTTAGCCGACTCCTTCTCCCCCCATCCCCCATCCCCCATGCGCCTCCCTCCCTCCCATCTCCCTCCCCTGTCTCTCTCAATCTCCCTCTTCCTCTTCTCACCTCTCTCAATCTCACTCATCTCTCTCCTTCGGCCTATTTGCTTCCCCTTCGTGAACGCTACAGGTACTTCTCCTATCTCTCTGTTTCTATYTTGTTTTTAACCATTACTTTTGTTGTTTTGAGAGATCAGTCCCCTAAACTCACAAAATTTGGTGCGATTTTCACGTTTCTTTTGCTGTCGTTTCATCTTAGGTTTTCAATCCTTCATTAATTTTCCCCCCTTTCACTTAATCCTCTGTGTTCTATGTTACTGTTGCGATTTTTTCCGTTACAACTCTTGTTGGAACTCGAGAACCTAACCCGAAAAATATAGGGTTGGGTTGGGTTGGTTATCAAATTCGGTTCTATCGGGTTCACAAACTAACCAACCTGAAAATTCGAGTTGGTCCAAAAAAGTCCCTTAACTCGATCCAACCCAACCCATAAACACCTCTACCAGTAGGAGTGTTTGAAATGGATCATGTGCAAATGATGTATAATCTAGACATGGGAAGTAACATGCACATACATAGCTCCTGCTAATCAATTTTGTTGTCTATGTTGCGATGATRGTCAACATTCATTTGAATATTGTCCATCTAAGGCTTCAATTTTTTATTATCTAGGTCAGCAAGGGAACCAACAAGATTTCAACTCATTCAATTTTATACAACCAAGATTGGAGGGATCATTCAAATTTCTTGTGGGGAGAGCATAAACTATATTTCATTCGTATGAGCATGTATTTCCACTAGAATTCCTGTCACAACCTCAACAAGAGTAACAAGAGTGTGAACAACCATGGATGCCAGAGCAAACACAATCATTTAGAATTTCTAGCCTTGAAGAGATGATGATAGATTATATGGCTAGAAATGATAGCCTTGAAGAGATGATGATAGATTATATGGCTAGAAATGATGAAGCATTACACAAGCTGCAAACATTACAAGAAAAAATACTTTTCTCGACGCTGAATTACTTCTCCCAACGAAAAATTTTTCATCTGGAAAATCATCGTCCAAACCGCGTTGAGAGAAGTCATTCTCGACATTTTTTAGAAAACGTCGGGAAAAGTCCATTTCTACCAACGTTTCGAAAACTTCGGGAGAAGTGGACTTTTCTCGACATTTTCAAAATGTCGGAAGAAGTGGAATTTTCCCAATGTTTTCAAAACATCGAAAGAAGTGGACTTTTATCGACTTTTTCAAAATGTCTGAAGAAGTGAACTTCCACAACATTTTCTAAACATCGAGAGAAGTTTTTTATTGAATAAAATAAATAACGAGCGTCGCTAGATCTCGCCGTCGTGATAGTGGATCTCGTCATGGACGTCATCTTAGTCT